CTTTTGTTTGTGCAGTGATCGTCGGTGGAGTGAGAATGGCTTCGTATATGGTCTTCGGTGAAGTAGGGAACAATCCAAAGTGGCATGTGATGAGTGGTCGGCCATGGAAGGTCTGGGAGTGTGCTGCCATGGTAGCCACTGTTGTTCCCAATGTATAAAATAGGTAATGAATTTATTTTTCCATTTTGTTTTTTAGATAAAAAAAATTCAAAAACAAATTCCGATTGTTTTTTTTCGAAAAGAAAATATTTGGTTTCGGAGAAAAACAATTTGTATTTTTTTCGATTTTTTTTATTTTATACTAATTATATAAAATAAAATTGAATATGTCATTGTGATAAATAAATGAAAACTAGAAGGGCAGCTATAATTTTATAAGACCTCTCAAGGTCCAATTAGTTATCTCCCCCAATTAGCTAATATTATAAAATTATTTGCGGGTCGACCCGGAAAATAATATAGTTAACCCAACATCAAACTAAATCTTACCATTTAGTTAATCTTAGCTAATCTTGTCAACCAAACGGGGCCTTAGTAAATTATAATGTAGGATTTAGCACTCGGGATTATTAGTGATTACCCCTCTAACTTTTTTTAACAAGAGTGGAACTACCCTCATTTTCAATATTAATAGTAGATCCATCTTTTTTCATATTCTCCATATGCCCCTCTCTAAGACCAACTCCAATGGGATTATCATATAGAGTATTTAAACATTTAACTCCTATTTACATACTTAAAATTAGAAATCTTTAACTAACTCCAATGGAGTTATAAAATGAAGTTTCAATTTTGATAATTCACCTTTTGGGTTGTAAAAATACTTAGTGGAAATTGAGTTATAAAAAATGTAACCTCCTAAACACCCAATCAAAAATTGACACGTGGCAATTACAAATAAAACCACCCATAAACTTCCAATTGATAATTAATTTGATAACCATGGTTGGAGTAGATGAATTTTAAATCAATATTAAAATAATTTTTGAATATCAAATGACTTTTTAATAACTCAATTTTAATATCTAGCATTGGAGTTGCTCTAATATTCACTACCCATTACCCCGGTCATTTCAAAAAAAAAAGCAAATACCATTACCCCACTACTCATTACGTGATGCATTTTTATATGTATTTAAATTCTTTTATAATTCCCATTTTTCATTTATTAAATTATTTTAAAATAACAATATTATTTTATAAAAAGTAAAAAAAAAATACAATTTTTTTCCCATAAATCAACTAAAAATTCTGAAATCAACCAAATTTCTTTTTTTTTTTTTTTTTCTAAAAGAACATTTTAATTTATTTTGGATATTTCTTCTTGCAATTAATTTTTGTTTTCTTTCCATAATGAATTGAATTTTTTTCATAATCAACTATAATTTTCAGTAAATCAACTATAATTGTCGAAATCAACTAAAAAAACAGAAAAAAAAAAAAACAACGGTAAAATTAACGAAAATAACTACAAAGAATTATCCAAAATTTCGGCAAAACTAATATAAATTCGAGCAAATACAACTACAAAACACCATCTTCTCCAATTCACCTTCGTCCGCGACTCTTCAAAACGAAATCGAAATCAAAGGTTATTTAATAATTGAATCAGGACAGCAACGTCATAACCTTTCATCTAAAAAATCAATCAATTGCAAAACAAAAATAATAAACATTCATCTTCACTCCCTTCGATTATACACACATGCTATGTGTTATACATTGAATCCAGGGTATTAAACCCCATAAAAATTACTTTTAAATGAAAAGATGATTGATCTACTACACTGCAATATAAACAAAATTAGGACGATGAGTAGATATGTCATCAGAATAGTGCAACTAAGGGGAAAAATGAGAAAAATAAATTTAAGTTCTTTGCACACATCGCAAATAGTTGGTTTTAGTGTCATTAATTTGTGCTCCAAAGAGATATAGATATATATATACCTGTCAAGTATTCAAAACAAGAGATATACTAAATTGTAAAAAAAAAAATGCATTCCCATGTGGTCTTAATGGCGCCGGATATGCCTTAACGGCGCCGGATACTAAATTTTCGAAAACTGGATACTAAAATCACCGAATTACTCTTTCTTATTGTACATAGTTTTTTTCTTCTTCTTTTTAATATTTATATTTTATTACTTTTTTTCGAATTTTTATTCAAAAATATTTGTACTCTTTTCTAAAAAGATAAATAAATTTTTTTTTGAATTTTTTTTATGAATTTTATTACTATTTTTTTCGAGTTATTTAAAAATGATTAATTGAATATGTCATGATGATAAAAAAAAAGTGAAAACAAGAAAGACAATTTTGTAATTAATGTATGTAGCCATTGCACAATAATTTTATTGAACCAATCAAGGTTCAATTAGTTGTCTGGCTATCTCACAATTAGCCATGATAAGGCATGACAAAATTATTTTGGCGGGTCGATCCAGAAAATCCTAAACTATCTAAAAGACCTTTCACATTAATAATTGTTCAGTTCTTCTTGAGCTTTGAGCTTCTTTCTTTTTGTTCTTAGAGCGTGTTTGGCTAAGCTTAGATGTTGTTAAAAATAACTTATAAGATGATTAAGAGTTTATAACCTCTTCCAAAGTATTTGGTAAAAATAAGGGTTAATCACAAAAAGGCCCATGACAAGGGCACTTAATTAAAAGAGGGATATTCAATTTTTTTGTCTTTGAAATAAATCAAGTTCATTCAAACTTATTTGCAAATAAGGAAAATCATTTTATATATACCAAAATTACCCTCAATTCATTGAAACTCAATTCAACTCCAATTTCAAGATTTACACCCCAATTTAGCCCAATTTCATCAATTTACCAATTTTAACCCTAATTTCAATTTTGACCCGCCACCACCGGAGACCGCCGGTCGTCGCCATTGACCGCCGTTCTCCGGCATTGACTTTTTTTTTTTTTTTTAAAAACGTTTTTTTTCCTGAAAATTTTTTCCGGCCGGTCAACTGCCGTTGACCGCCGGGTCTCCGGCGCTGATTTTTTTTATAATTTTTTTTTCTTAAAAAAATATTTTAATTAATATTACTGTCTTGACTGCTAAATTACAGTCTCCAGCAGTTATTTAACTGTCGGAGACAGTAATTTAACTGTTAATTGACTTTTTTTTTCTTCAAAAATATTTAATTAATATTACTATCTTTGCTGCTAAATACTGTCTCCAGCAGTTATTTAACTGTCGGAGACAGTAATTTAAGTGTTAATTGACTTTCTTTTTTTAAATATTTTAATTAGTATTACTGTATTCGTTGCTAAATTACTGTCTCTAACAGTTATTTAACTGTCGGAGACAATAATTTAACTGTTAATTGACTTTTTTATTCATGAAAAAAATATTTTTAATTAATATTACTGTATTCGTTGCTAAATTACCGTCTCCAACAGTTATTTAACTGTCAGAGACAGTAATTGAACTGTTAATTGACTTTTTTTCATAAAAAAATTATTTTAGTTAATATTACTGCATTGGCTGCTAAATTATTGTCTCCAACAGTATTTTAACTGTCTTAGACAATAATATTAATAATATTACTGTTCGAAAAAATAATATTCATAATATTACTGTCCCAAACAGTAATATTAATGTCTGAGACAGTAAGTTAGTAGCCAGGACAGTAATATTAATAAAAATATTTTTTTCTAAGAAAATAAAATTCAAAAAAAAAAGTCAACGGTTGACCAGTCGGAAAACAATTTCAGGAAAAAAAAAGTTTTCGAAAAAATAAAAAAGTAAGGAAGTCAACGCCGGAATCTGACCGGAAAAAAAATCAGAAAAAAAGTTACTTTCTGAAAAAAAATATTTGGGGGGCTAATGTGATATATTTGTTTAAATCCGAGGTCAATGTGTAATATTAAGGAAGTTAGAGCATAATGGATGTAATTGATAAGAATTATATTATGGAGGGTATTTTAAACTAAAGACATGGGGATGAATTTAATTGAAAGACTTTTTTTTTGTAGACCAATGTGAATTTAAGTCCCATGTGATGGGTCTTTTTGCCATTCCCCTAAAAAAAAATCCAAAAAATAAGTTGTTGATCCATTAATTATAAAAATTACCTATACGCTACCTAACTTTTTATCTAAAATAACTTTTTAGTTATTTATCTATTTTCTTGCGTTTTTATATATTTTGTTTTCACTCTACAGTTCTCGCGGTTCCTTTCAACGTATTCACTTGTATTTTTTTCTCTGAAATTGTTTGTTATAGGTTTAATTTTTTTTTTATACTGTAATAATTGGGTTTTTCAAAGTTAGAATTTTTTTATCAACTTTATCATTTACTTTTCTGCACTTATGGAACATATATTTATTTCAATTTTTACTATCAGTTATTTAAATATGGATTATTTGTTAAACACCAATCATTGAGATTTGACTTCATGATAAATCTTTAATTTGTAATTGATATTTAACATAAATTTATTGGGCCTAAAAAATCTTGTCCCCACTAATTAGTATAATCTTATATATAAAAGAAAGAAGCTGGACAACCTTAAAAAACCCTAATTATATTTCTATAATTATTTATTTTTAATATATTTTCTCTACTAATTTCTAATTATAATTTTTTTTTGAGAAAGAAAGGACGATTTATAATTTTTAACAATTATCAAAATTAAAACTAACCCGCGAAGAATCTTACCTTATTGCTACTTATGTAATTATTTATTTTTAATATTTTTTCTGTACTAAGTTTTTAACTATAATTTTCAACAATTATTGATCTCCTAATTTTCATCAATATATCTCAAATCTTAAGAGATAAAGCTAGAAATTCAATATGAATAATACTACATTATTAAATTTTGATGTTGTAATTATATACACAAACATTTGATGTATTCGTATGACGAAATTTTTTATTACAATCATTGATTAATAATTCATCAGTGGAACATAGTAAACTAAGTATACTTACTACACAAAAAAAAGAGCAAATTTTATCGACAACATATCATCTGAAAAGGCTATCTCTGCATCTTGCATTGTAACTAAGCCCTTCTCCTAACCTTCCATATATTTGTGTCAAGATCAACTTCATGCTTCCCCGACATATCGATTGCATCGACGCTTAGAACTGAAACGATTCACACATAGTAAAATAAGACTTGGAAAATGTGACTACACTAAGAAGATAAGAGTTTCACGGAAGCACATAAAACCAATGATTTGACTGAAGGAGTGGTATAGGAGAAGATAATGAAAAACAGAGGTTAAAAAGACTAACCATCACAAGGCAAAGAGGGGAATGTAATATTTATATGGATTGGAAGCGTTTCTCCACGTTTTAATTCAACTGACATCTGCCAAGTTTTTATATCCCATATTAAGAACCATAATGATGACAAGTTACAGTAAGAATAAAGAAAAACTATGTAAACGAACAAAACGAACCTGATGTACAGTGTATGTCAAAATATAATATGTCAGCTCGTGCAGGAACAAAAAATGCCATGGTAGCAAGTCCAAGGATAGAAACTATTATGCAACACGAAAAAGTTTTGAAGTCAGTATTGCATCCCTTACACCAATTGACTACCATCACAATGTATTGCATTGAGTGTTCATACAACTGCATACATGATATTCATAGTAATACACTTAGATACTTAATAACCACAATCAAGAGACATTATAGTTCTTACCAAACTTATGATTAATATCACAGCACAAATAGTTTGAAATACTAAATCACATACATTATGTTCACCTCAGATAAAGCCAAGATATCATGGTTTATATCTAATTGCAAAGAAACTGAAGATTAACAACAATAAAGTTAAAAACTATTATACCTTGTTTGATAATAGCAGTGGATTTCCATGATAGAGTCGTCAACAACTGATTTCCTATTTGCCACTGTAAATAGAAAGCAATACATTATTCATATGTTTTTTATATTAATTATTGAAGAAACTCCTGCCAGTTTACGAAACTTCCGGAAATTGCATCATAGCCACAACGGCGGTCAAACTGTAATTATTGAAAAAACTCTTCCCTGCTAAAATTCTAATATGAAAATATCTAAATAGTCTATGGGTTTCAACCCCCATCTTTCTCTCACTTAGCAGAAAAAACCTCTAAACGGGGGTCAATCTGTAATTATTGAAAAAACTCCTACCTGACTAAAGAAACTTCCGGAAATTGCATCATAGCCACAACGGGGCTCAAGCTGTAATTATTGGAAAAAACTCCTACCTGACTGAGAAACTTCCGGAAATTGCATTATAGCCACAACGGGGGTCAAACTGTAATTATTGAAAAAACTCTTCCCTGCTGTTAGAACTTTCGTAAATTGCAGCAACACCCACAATTTTTATCTATCTTCACATCCGACCGCCTGCAGCTTAAAATTCTTAATTTTACGAAGCTTCTTACCCTGTTTCATTTATTACAGATGCAAATAAAATGTACAGAGGGAGTGAAAAAAAGGTGAAAGGGAGAATCATTACCGTATCTTCTGGTTTCACTTTGCAAAATAGCTAAATATGGATGGGTTGAGAAGTTGAGAGGTCTGATATAAATATGAAGAGAAAACCTAAACATGTTGAAGTGGGAGAGAGAAGTTGAAAGTGTTGGAAGTCTTTGGGAATCCGGAAAATCAGAACAAAAAAAATTGAGATGGAAAATAAATAAACAATTACAAAATATATGCTGGAGATAAAATAATATTAAAAATGTGATAAAAATCGAAAAAAAATAAAAAATTAAAAAAAATATGCTAGAGATAAAATAATACAAAAGATATGCTAGAGATAAAAAAAATTAAAAAAAAAAAAAGAGATTTTAATATTTAGAAGATTTAATTAGTTGTGGCATTAGAGATTTTAGGGCTGAAAATTAGGAGTGAAAGTTAAAAAAAAAACGAAAAAGAGATTTTAATAATTAGAAGATTTAATTAGTTGTGCATTAGAAATTTTTCGGAATTAGTTGTGCATTAGAGATTTTAGGGCTGAAAATTAGGAGCGATGGAAATTAAAAAACAAAATTACAAATAATATGCAGGATAGTTAGGAGCGAAAGTTACAAAAAAAGAAAAAGAGATTTTAATAATTCGAAGATTTAATTAATTACAAATATGCCATTAGGGTTTTTCTAGGGTTGCCCAGCGTTTCTTTCTTTTATATATATCTTATATATATAAGATTAGTTTACTATATTTTCTTATTATGTATTAAATTGATTATTTTTTTTTCACTATTTAAATAATATCCCGTGCATCGCACGGGGAAAAAATGCTAGTTATTTTAAATTAAAAATACAGTGAATTAAATGCAGAATCCCTCCCAAAATTGCATTACCTAAAAATGGGAAGGTCAAAATCCATGGATTTAATAAAGGAAGGGCAGAAACCACTCTGCGCGTGAAAACCACTATGTGCGCGAAAACCACTATGCGTGCAAAAATCACTATGCGTGCAAAAACTACTCTTACATTTGTTTAAGCATCAACAAAAAGTGTACAGTGCACCAAACACTTATATACATCAACAAAACATGTACATAGACACATACAAATTATTGTCCAACGTAAATCAATACAAAATCTCATATATAAATTCTCATGTTAACCGAAAATCACCATGTGAATCTGCACCGCCGTCGCTTATCCAATGACACAAGCAGATTATTAATTCTGTGAGTTACAATTCCGATTCTACATAAACGGAAATGTGCAATCAATAAGTGTTAATGGTGGAATTAGTTTGACAAAAAAGTGCTATTTAAAATATTTATGTAAAAAATATTATGCATCTTCTAATAACAAATATTAAAACACATGTATTAATTAGTTAGGGGCATAATAGTTATAATTTAGTGTTTTTAATTAATAAAATTTGTTTTGGATTTATCTTAAAAAGGAAAAATAAAATTGGGCCTAATGTAATGACCCTTGTGCAATGGGGGTGTTTTGTCAAATTTTCCCTATAAATAATTATTTACTGTAGAACCTCGATAAATTAATATTCGGTAAATTAATAATCTCTCTTAAATAATAGTTTCTCTCGGTCCCGACTCGGCAAAAATATGTTACATTATTAACTCGATAATTTAATAATTCGCTATATTAATAGAATTTCTCCAGTCCCGACTGTAGTTCCGACTGTATTAATTTATAGAGGTTCAACTGTACATTCCTTTTGGAATGTTACCGAAAATTACTAGTTCACAATTGGTAAGGGACAAAGAAATTAATGTTTGACCTGAATGATATCTTTACTGGAACAAGTTGTTGAGTTGAATGATAGGTTGAGAATTTCAGACATGTAACAACAATCTTCGATTTAATATTTACCAGAATTGGCAATTCTTGCACTCAAAACTGCCCGAGACGAATGTCCCTATCTAGTCGATCCGCATTGAGAGTTCCAGGAAGTTCTCTAAAATCTTCATTGAATACAGAATATGCACTGCACAAATCACACAACCAACCAAAACTATCAAGTATGCAAGAATCGACCCTCTCACATTTTAAAATGCCAGAATTTAAAATTAAAGAAATCTTGAGCAGAAATGTGAATCATTAACCAAAAAAAAAAAAAGAGGTGCAATAGACCAACTTAATGCACAATGGCCACCAATCCATGTAACAAATTTAGATAAAATGCAAACAAAACATGTTGCTGTTTCAGAAGATCAACAAACCAAGGAATAGTAACTATATTTCATCTATTTTAATATTTTTTATGACCCAATCCAAAATATATATGTTCCTATTTTTATTTCATGGAAACCAAATGCATCATCACAATCACTCGATCTAAATCATCTACTCTGTTTGTAAGATTAAATGTGGAATTATTCGAATATGGAACTTGATAGCCACTAGCCCTTTTCATATCAATCAGAACGAAGTGCAGCTTAGCATTACAAGCTCGACACATGCAATGATGCAAAATCCCAGAACATATTTTGCAATTCATTTCTAAGATCACGACAAATTTACAAAGAAAATAATAGTAGCCCCAACTGGAAATTAAACATCAAAACATTGGTACAAAAACATTGGCAATATAATTTAAGATATTTGCAGGCTCAATGCACATACCTTACATCACCAGGTTGCCGATGCCCAAGGTTGTAGAATATGATAAGAAAGCCGGTTCCAATTATCTGAACAAAAAGTTTTTGTGTCAATTTAAGTTCGAAATAAAGAAAAATCAGGCTCTTGTTTTATATGGGTCAGTCTACACCCGCGAACAAAGACTAGGGTTTTACAGTTTTCAATTCAAACGCGACTATATGCATTGTAAGGTAACTGTAGACTGACGAACCCAAAATAAGAACAAAAAAACTCACATATAAAGGGCCGACATCAAATCTATTGGCAACAGGTGCCAGAATAAACCATAAAACAATTGCGGCCCATATCTTTATCCCCAGCGAGAAAATTGCCATCAAAAGCATATCTAAAAGAGGAATTAATGGGGATTATCAAAACCATATTTCTGTCAACGATACATAAATGGCACAACTCTAGCTTAGCTATGTCTCTCACCAGGTAGCTTAAGCTTATCACGTAATATAAAGAAAAGCCTCCTTTTCCACCTGCTCGTTGGTTCTGTAAGTTCTATTTTCTATGAGAACAAACAAGAGAGATATAGAACTATAAGACTCAGAAAGGAGAAAAAAAAACAAGAGAGAGATATTCCTGGAATCGATAAAAAAAACCAACAATATCTTCTCCATCATCATCGTCATCGAAACTGTGAAGTATGTGCTTAGCTGGTGGTTTTGGCTTGATGGCAACAATCACAGAGTCTAAAACACAAATATTGCGACACATTGTTAGACGTGGTAAAATAATGTTGAGAAAGAAAGCGAGTTTTGCAAAATGTTAACACAAAACCATACGAAGCCTAACTTCATGCTTCATCAGGCTAAACTTTAAGCTCTTTCTAACTTACAATAGCACAAAAAATGTCCAAGTATTCCATTCCTATCTTATCGATTCAGAAAAAAAGTAGTTGCAACAAAAACCAAAACGAAAGATGATCATCATTAAACTTTATGGACCAAAGAGGAGGAATTATTGACTAAATCATGATTCTGAATATTATCCATAGACAAAATATGTTCTGTTGCTTTCAAGCTTATCACAATTATCAGAAACAAAATGGTGCTTCAAGGAAAACAAAACAGCCGATCTAAACAGCAAATCATCCTCATATCCAATGATGCATCTAATGATTTTAAGATGTAATCTAGAATAAAATAACCATACACGGAATAGGAAAAGATGTATCTCATCATCAGTAAAAGAGAATATGACACCCAAGCCTACAAAATTTTACCTCCATCATGAAGTTGGACAAATAAGTCATCACCATTTATAGTGTCATGCAACACGTTTCCTCGAAAAACAAGCTTCATATTCTCAACCGGCAAGTGACTTGTCCCTCCAATCAATTTTCTCAACTCTTTAACCTATTTGTCAGGAAACATAGAATTCACTAAATAAATAAATAAACGCTTCCGTGACAGTTTCTAAATGAAGTTCTGTATATAACATGTGATTGTTAGAGAGAGAGAGAGAGAGAGGGGGGGAAAAGAGGGATATATATTAGGAGTATATTCTGAGGAAAAAAAGATGCATAAGTTGCTTCAATCTCCATTTAGTGCAGAACAATACCTTCAAACTTATGTTGAAGTTAACCTTGATGCCATAACACACTATATATGGATTCTAATCAATGGCGATATCCGAATTTGAAAGAATTGGTATAAAAACGACATGCACAGACAGAAGTGGGTTATAGTCATCAACCAGAAGAAAATATTTTAAAATGATTCTTCTCGATAAATATGTGAATGTCTATAATTTGAATAACAAGAGAGGAACCTATAGCGGAGCTGATTACCAATATACCAACAAGACTGCTTTGCAATTATTACAAGAAATTAGTTAAAATATTCAAAGAAAAAGGATCTTCAGACATATATTTCTAAATAGATTCAGTTCAGTGAGTGTAGAAATTTTCAGAACATACTCTGTTAAGATTAAGATATCCCAATTCAGTTATTATTTCCACAAGGAATCATCTATTAGATAAATTTTGTTGAATTAAATTCAATGTTTATGTAAAAGGAGAGGAAAACAAATTGACAATCCGATTACTGATGAAATACATTCTGAGGAATCATGGTACAAACAATTGCATCATACTTCAAATTGTCGCATAACAGATAAAAAAAGAAAAGAAACCCTAATTGAAACATTTAAAATTCAGCAAAATCAGAGAGAGAGAGAGAGAGAGAGAGAGAGAGAGAGAGAGAGAATGCGGAATAAAATAGGTGGAAACTGAAGAAATACTTTGATTGAAGAAGGGAGTGTAAGGCGAGAACGAGGAGAAGGGCCGATCATTTGCAGAGTGATATTAACCATTACATCATCCTCTTCGATTAGATCGGCCATGGATCCAACCCAACTGTTGTACCTCAAGGTACAAATACAACTGATGATATTATTTATCGTGATGAAAATGGGATTTGTAGTTTGTGAGATATTTTTTTTAGGATTTTTCTATAAGAAATCGGAATCTTTTTGGATAACAAAAATAAGAGATTATTAGGAATAAAACCCCTCATTTGCTATTTGTCTTTGGTATAAATTCTTATTTTATATTAAACTGCAGGTAACTATTACAAAACAAAAAGAAAAGATAAACTTAATATGCTGAATATATCGAAATAAATAATTGAAAACAAATTACGCCAAAAAAATTGTATCGAAAAATTACTTTTTCCCAGTACGAAACCGCCCAAACTCCCTGGTGATCTTCACCATCGGCGTGTCGCCTCCGCATCAATCGTCTTCTCCGGTCACCAACATTTTTCTCTATGCCGCAGTAGTCGAATTAGGGTGCCAAAGCCTTTTTGTCTCGAAAACACTATCCTTATTTACAAAATCTCCAATTGATCTAGGGCACCGCCGCCATACACCACTAAGCTGGAACAAAAACACATAAACTTCAACAAATTTTGTAGTCGAATTACGTTAATCGACTATGAATTTTTGTAGTCAATTTACATTATTCGAATTGAGTTTATAGTTGATTAACGCAAATCGATGATGGTCCTGACGCCGTCGTCGCCTTGTACGACGTTGACTTTGCTCGCCTTTTACGACGTTGACTTTGCTCGCCTTGTACGAGTTGACTTTGCTGATTAGAATGGGGAGCTCTCCATCGACGATGTTGGTGAGTTCGAGGGTACCGTACATCTTTCACTATAGGAAGAATAGAATAGGAGAAAGAGAATAGAATAGAAACCCCCATTGTGTTATGGGTTGATTACATGGAATATATATAGAGAAATATTGCAAGGTATACACCACCGAGAGAGGGAGAAAATTCGGTTTGGTGGTCGCCGGCCATGTAGAAGAAGAGAAGCGGCGGCTAGGTTTTAGGCCATGGAGAAGAAGAAGAAGAAGAAGAAGAAGAAGAAGAAGAAGAAGAAGAAGAAGAAGAAGAAGAAGAAGAAGAAGAAGAAGAAGAAAGAGAAGATGCACCACCAGGGGAGGGAGAAAAAATTCGGGTGGTGTTCATAGAAGATAGAAAAGAAAAATATTAAGAGTACCACCACCGGGGGAGGGAGAAAAACGGGTGGTCACCGCCATAGAGAAGAAAGGCGGCTAGGTTAAAAAATCTGGTGCTCTGATACCATATAGGAAGAATAGAATAGGAGAAAGAGAATAGAATAGAAACCCCCATTGTGTTATGGGTTGATTACATGGAATATATATAGAGAATTATTGCAAGGTAATAGAGTTTGACTAGGTAACTAAATCCTAACTAATCTAGGTAACCGAATCATACTAGAATCCTAATATTACAAGACTTCTATAATATATAGTATTCTCTAATATTCACGCTTCACTTGCAAGTGCCTTCACCTCTTTCTCCTCCGACAATGCACTTTAATCTCATCCATAGAGTTTCATTAAAATCAATGGTGTTTGTTGCCCTAGTAACTCTCCAGAATAGTTATCTTAGCTTAACTCAATATCCCCATCGATAAATTGACGATAGTTCGTGATAACTTGCTCATTTAGCAAGGACATTGAATTCTACGCTCCATCATCGCATTACCAATACCGACAAATTCTTCACGGCCTTCACAGTCATAGTCACTCGATGCATCAGTTTTTGCAAGGTGATATTCTCAGTCTCCACATTTGTTATTGTGTGCTCATAACTTTCCTAGTTAATAGTCAACTTGATCTTCATATTGAAAAATTACATATATATGTCAAAAATAATAAATGGTGTATCTAATTTTAAAAGAACTGTATAAAAAATATTAAATATTGAACTCTTAATGCATAAGGTATTCATTTTGTAATTACTAATCACTATTATATTTGAAGTGTGTTTCTTCATTCAATTTTTAACTTTTTAATTGTAAAAGTGGATTTTTTAACACTAAAATCATTCTTCATGACTTCATTTCAGCAAGCCATGGCAGCAAATATTTTAACACAAAAATCAAATAGTAGTTTTGGGGGTATTAAAAAGAGAACAATGAAAAACTTAAAACTTACAGATAGCTACTAATATATTGCCTGTTGTGATAAAAATTAAATCAACAATATAGATTTGTTTGTGGGCTCCAAAAAGATTATTCACACAGGATTATTTAACTTCTCACAAACCCATAACCACATAAATGGCATATATGTAACTCATATACAAATATTGATTAAAAGTTTACCGTAATGGTATAATATTCTCTGCACACGTGAAGGTCTCTGTGGAGAGATGGAACGTGGAGGAAAAAATAAGAGCACCGCTGGTTGAGAAGATATGCAATATTTCAGAAATTAATTGATGATGTAAGAAATAAATCACCTCGGGTGTTAAAGTTGGGAGAGCAAAGTAGGTCACGTGCTCACGAGCTAGATATTCCTGAAAACTTTAATTAACTCAAGGATCCTGCGAACAGAAAACACGTAATCTAAGCCGGGGGTTGATCCGGCGGAAACCACTTCGACGCTCAAGTCAGACGTGCGGATAATCAATAATAGCTGAGAGAATTTTTGTAGAAGTGATTGAATAATAAAAATGCGTACCTTCATTAAATGAATTTAAGTTCTATTTATACTTTATTGATTGGACTGAGATCAATTTATCGGGCCCAACTTTCTTTGGTTGTGATTGGGCCTTCGTAGAAGTAGCTATTAAGTTGGGCATGTGGTCCAGTAAATATGGGTCTATTGAACTGGGCCAATAGGCATATCATTAAGCCCCCCACTCTCGAATCGATGTGGGAGTGAATCGGGGAGAGGTGCCGGATCTTGTCGAGAGTAGAATTGGATTTTGATCTTCTTGTTTGTGTCGTTGACAAAGGGATAATAATAAATTTTTATTATTATTGTGTGGCCCGGATTGGTGAGTGGATTTATATTTAAAGTGCTTAACTATAAATTAGTGCCTTGTAGTAAGTAATTCCTTGTGAAATCAGTAGAGAGGAGTATCAAGATTCACGTCGAATAAATATGGGTGAGTAATCAACTTTATTATTTTATATTTCTCTCTCTTTTATTTTGCTCCATATACTCCGTTGTAGAAAAGATTAATCTTTTCTAAAATATTATATTCCCTGTCGGAGAAGATCAGCAGATAAAATAATTTATATGTCCCAAGCGGGGAAGGCGAAACAGTTGAAAATTATCCTGCGAAAGTCGATCGTAGAAATCGAGATGACCTTTGGAACCGTAGGGAAGGTAATTGGGTCGAGTTCCGGTAAAAAAATTGCACCGGAGAAAGAAACCGCGCGTATCGATTGCACGCGATTAGGTGTATCCGGAGAAATTGCTGCAGAACCAGTAGACGAAGCTGCGCGACTCGAGGATGTGAGAGGAGCCGCGCG